GTACTAGCATATACCGGCAATATGATTGATGTATTACAGACTAGACGAAGAAACTATCCCAGGGTAACTCCTGCACCACCAACACAACCACCAACACAAATAGAACCTCCGCCCACTATTAAACCGGAACCTCCAACCAGACCTCCGACCACAACTACTATAAAACCAGATGAAGAAGAAACAAAGCCCACAACTGCAACCACCACCGCGACAACAACAACTGTCGCAACTAAGAAAGACGAGGACGAACCAGAAACAGTATCTATCATGGAGACAAAGAGACAAAGACTAGACGCACAAGAAGATGAATCATACGGGTCCAACCTCGCAGTGGCGAAACTCGCTCAACCGCTATTCGGCATCCACTATTATAAGACGGATATCACAGTCACCCGAAAACAACACCTTACGCTGGCTCAATACAAGCCTGCAGACACGGGGATCACACAATACTACGTCACCTGCATCCCGTATCAAATATTCGAGTTTTGGACAGTTAATAAAGGCGGTGACAATTTTAGAGACCCTCTTGCAAACCTCGTCAAAGTCTACGACTACATACATTATAATTCTGGTTCTATTCGGTTTAGTCATTTTGTACCACTGCAGCAGAGTCTTAGTTCAACTACGCAACAGGATACGCCAGCGCTCAACACAACCCCTTACGCCTACATCGCCAAAGACTCCCTTGGAAACCTAGATGGAATCACATCGCCCACAGCCATAGATATCACTACCATGGTCAACCAACAAATTAAACTACCGAGCAATACATACTGGAGTAAAGACAGTGACGAAGGACTACTAGGACTCGCTGATGTCAAAACCTTCCACCAAGGAGAAACCGTACACTACAATTTCAAATTTGATAACCAGATGAACTGCCTCAAACAAAAGACACCCCGCTGGGATAATACATTCGGACACTACTTCCCACTAGCCTCAGGGAAACCATTGAAGACTGGGATAGCCATGAGTGTACAAGTGAACGCAGACGAATCAATAAATCAGTTCAAGATACCTGAATACGATCTACCTTTCTTGTTTATCTTCCTACCATACATCGAACAAGTCAACAACACAGAAACCATAGCCAGACTATACGCTCATGTCCTCATGGAAACGGAACTCAATTTCACCCTATGGACTGTCCCTGATGGAGCCAAACACTTAACAGGAAACATGCACAACAAAAATCAACTAGAGCCGGTATTGCATAAATGGACCAACAAAACACTAACCCAACAAGCCTACCAATTCAACTAATGG